CCAGATTTTAGCCCAATGTGCGCCAAAAGTTATGAAGGCTCAAAGTAGCGAACGTTTTTGACCGCTCCATAAACCCACATCATATACAAAGTCGTCACGTCGCGTCGCAGTCCTCGTGAATCCAATAGGTTCGCCCGCAAATGACTAAAAAATTCGTTAAGATCATCACGGATGTGTTGTTACAATGTCCTTGACGTATTCATTTGCCAGCGCGATTAGGCCCTTCCCGGCTGGCATGATCAGCTTTATCGGTTCTTTCGGCCATCCTTGGAGATAAGCCTCGACCAGCACCGATGCATTTTCTCAAAATAACACCTGATGCTTGATTCTAAGTCGTTAACGGGGGGAAGTGCGTAGCTAGCTAACTAACCATAAGACACTAATAAGAGATTAAAACACTAACGGCACTCGGCTCTGCTTTCGGGACTATTCTTCCAGCCGTACTGATAGCATCCCATCGGCTCGATCCGCGCTTGCTCGTGCCCGGGTCGCTCTTAAAAAAAAGCTGGTGCTTGCGCATTATCGGTGGAGGGGCGGCGGGACCAATTTTTTTTTGTATTAATTTAGACCCCCCCCCCGATAATGGGAAAGAACTCAAAATATAAGCCATTTGTTTAGCCGCTTACCATTTACCCATTCCGTGTAGCAAAACACAATGTAATCGGGCTCCGTCGGTTTGTCGGGGCACGCTGCAAATGAAAAATCAAAATCCAAGTGGCATTGCTGGTCGTCTCTCTCCCCTCTCTCTCTCTCTCTCTCTCTCTCTCTCTCTCTCTCTCTCTCTCTTCCCTCGCGCTCTTTCTTCCTCGCTCCTCTTTCTCTCTCCCCTCCGGCTATCTCTCTCTCACTCACTCTCAGAACTCTCTCCACTAACACCACTGCGAAAAACAAATGCTTAAAAAGTACCGTAAGTGACGTTAAGTTGTCTCGTCCCACTCGTGATCAGCTCATGGAATGCCACTCCCGAGTCATTAGTGTAGATGTCTCGCATCAGTGGCTTGCACGCCTTTTCCGGATGCCACGGGTAGCCGGTCACGTCACAGTACACATGCTCAGGGCTCTAAGTCAAAAAAATCGCCAATTTGCCAAAATTTCTACGAGGTTTACGATAGCTGAAAATTGCTATAAAAATGGTCTAAGGAATTTGGGGTCCCCCCGGCTAACAGCCCATTACCGTTGTCGTGTTGGTGGCAGTGGTTGTCGTTGTAGGCAGCCAGGACGGCTGAAAATGGTGAATCGGTTGCTGATCACGCAGAAACGGGCCGAAAAGGCGCAACAGTACCCCCCCCCCGACAAATACGACAGAACCCTAGCAACAATTTCAGTCGTTTTGTGCGGGGGATATCAGGTAAATTAGCTGAGAAAAACGCGACACAAAAACATAAAACATTAGAACTAAACGTCGCGTTTTGCGCTCGAAAAAATCACCGCATAGCAGGCGGGCGTTTTTGGAGCACTAACTCAGTGAGGGGGAGGGGTCTTGGCTGAAGTGCAGTTCACCCCCCCTTCCCCCCAGCCGACGCCCACCCACCGTATCTCGGCTCCCGGTTCATCTACAGGTGTGTAAAGTATCAACTATAATAATTTTCTTGACGCGTCCGTCTGTCCGTCTGTGTGAAGCCGAATTCAACTCGAAGGGGAAAGGAGCTAGAGCTTAGCTCTCTTCGGATTCGGATAGAGCGTGGTCAGAAACCCCCAAACTGATAAAAAAATTACGAAAAAGTTTTAGTTTAAATTATTAAAATTAACTTTGAAAGTTTTTTCCTTAGTAAAAGGGGTGGGGGACGGAGGTTGGGGTGATTTTGGACATAGTGAGCCAGGTCGCGCGCGTTTCGTGGATGAAAATTTTCACGGGGGATTTCATTTCTTTTTTTCTTTCATTCCATCCGGTCGGTCGTTATTTTCGTTTTTTAAAAGGATTTCGGCTAGGGAGGTATCTTAAACCATCAGGAAGGTATTTAGGTAGTTTTTGAAGGGGATTTCAGCCATGGGGGGTATCTGAAGCCATCAGGAAGGTATCGAAGTAGTTTTTTAAGGGGATTTCAGCCATGGGGGGTATCTGAAGCCATCAGGAAGGTATCTTGGTAGTTTTTGAAGGGGATTTCAGCCATGGGGGGTATCTGACGCCATCAGGAAGGTATCTTGGTAGTTTTTGAAGGGATTTCAGCCATGGGGGTATCTGAAGCCATCAGGAAGGTATCGAAGTAGTTTTTTAAGGGGATTTCAGCCATGGGGGGTATCTGAAGCCATCAGGAAGGTATCTAGGTAGTTTTTGAAGGGGATTTCAGCCATGGGGGTATCTGACGCCATCAGGAAGGTATCTAGGTAGTTTTTTGAAGGGGATTTCAGCCATGGGGGTATCTGAAGCCATCAGGAAGGTATCTAGGTAGTTTTTGAAGGGGATTTCAGCCATGGGGGGTATCTGAAGCCATCAGGAAGGTATCTAGGTAGTTTTTGAAGGGGATTTCAGCCATGGGGGGTATCTGAAGCCATCAGGAAGGTATCTAGGTAGTTTTTGAAGGGGATTTCCGCCATGGGGGGTATCTGAAGCCATCAGGAAGGTATCTAGGTAGTTTTTGAAGGGGATTTCAGCCATGGGGGGTATCTGACGCCATCAGGAAGGTATCTAGGTAGTTTTTGAAGGGGATTTCAGCCATGGGGGGTATCTGACGCCATCAGGAAGGTATCTAGGTAGTTTTTGAAGGGGATTTCAGCCATGGGGGGTATCTGAAGCCATCAGGAAGGTATCTAGGTAGTTTTTGAAGGGGATTTCCGCCATGGGGGTATCTGAAGCCATCAGGAAGGTATCTAGGTAGTTTTTGAAGGGATTTCAGCCATGGGGGTATCTGACGCCATCAGGAAGGTATCTAGGTAGTTTTTGAAGGGGATTTCAGCCATGGGGGTATCTGACGCCATCAGGAAGGTATCTAGGTAGTTTTTGAAGGGGATTTCAGCCATGGGGGGTATCTGAAGCCATCAGGAAGGTATCTAGGTAGTTTTTGAAGGGGATTTCCGCCATGGGGGGTATCTGAAGCCATCAGGAAGGTATCTAGGTAGTTTTTGAAGGGGATTTCAGCCATGGGGGGTATCTGACGCCATCAGGAAGGTATCTAGGTAGTTTTTCAGGGGGATTTCAGCCATGGGGGGTATCTGACGCCATCAGGAAGGTATCTAGGTAGTTTTTTGAAGGGATTTCAGCCATGGGGGGTATCTGAAGCCATCAGGAAGGTATCTAGGTAGTTTTGAAGGGGATTTCAGCCATGGGGGGTATCTGAAGCCATCAGGAAGGTATCTAGGTAGTTTTTGAAGGGGATTTCAGCCATGGGGGGTATCTGAAGCCAGCAGGAAGGTATCTAGGTAGTTTTTGAAGGGGATTTCAGCCATGGGGGGTATCTGAAGCCATCAGGAAGGTATCTAGGTAGTTTTTGAAGGGGATTTCAGCCATGGGGGGTATCTGAAGCCATCAGGAAGGTATCTAGGTAGTTTTTGAAGGGGATTTCCGCCATGGGGGTATCTGAAGCCATCAGGAAGGTATCTAGGTAGTTTTTTGAAGGGGATTTCAGCCATGGGGGTATCTGAAGCCATCAGGAAGGTATCTTGGTAGTTTTTGAAGGGGATTTCAGCCATGGGGGTATCTGAAGCCATCAGGAAGGTATCTAGGTAGTTTTTGAAGGGATTTCAGCCATGGGGGGTATCTGACGCCATCAGGAAGGTATCTAGGTAGTTTTTGAAGGGGATTTCAGCCATGGGGGGGTATCTGAAGCCATCAGGAAGGTATCTAGGTAGTTTTTGAAGGGGATTTCAGCCATGGGGGTATCTGAAGCCATCAGGAAGGTATCTAGGTAGTTTTTGAAGGGGATTTCAGCCATGGGGGTATCTGAAGCCATCAGGAAGGTATCTAGGTAGTTTTTGAAGGGGATTTCAGCCATGGGGGGTATCTGACGCCATCAGGAAGGTATCTAGGTAGTTTTTGAAGGGATTTCAGCCATGGGGGTATCTGAAGCCATCAGGAAGGTATCTTGGTAGTTTTTGAAGGGATTTCAGCCATGGGGGGTATCTGAAGCCATCAGGAAGGTATCTAGGTAGTTTTTTAAGGGGATTTCAGCCATGGGGGGTATCTGAAGCCATCAGGAAGGTATCTAGGTAGTTTTTGAAGGGGATTTCAGCCATGGGGGGTATCTGAAGCCAGCAGGAAGGTATCTAGGTAGTTTTTGAAGGGGATTTCAGCCATGGGGGGTATCTGAAGCCATCAGGAAGGTATCTAGGTAGTTTTTGAAGGGGATTTCAGCCATGGGGGGTATCTGAAGCCATCAGGAAGGTATCTAGGTAGTTTTTGAAGGGGATTTCAGCCATGGGGGGTATCTGAAGCCATCAGGAAGGTATCTAGGTAGTTTTTGAAGGGGATTTCAGCCATGGGGGGTATCTAAAGCCACCAGGGAGGTATCGAAGTAGTTTTTTAAGTGGATTGCATGAAGGGTAGCCCGAAGGCCAGATGGTTACAGTCGCGAAGCGACTGGAACCATCTGGTACCAAAATACTCGCCAGAGCAAGATAAACATTTTAGTATACTTTACACACCTTTAGATGAACAGCGAGCCGAGACACAAAAGTTGCGGGCCGGCTGGGGGTAAACTGAACTTTAACCCTATCGCCCAAAAAATTACAGCGGTTTTGCCAAGTCCTGTAAACCCACATCGTAAACAAAGTCGTCACGTCGCGTCGCAGTCCTCGAGTACCCAATCGGCTCGCCCGCATACCCCTAAAAATCCTGTTAGAGCATCACGAATGTGTTGTCACGTAGTCCTTGACGTATTCATTTGCCAGGTCGATTAAGCCTTTCCCGGCTGGTGCAATCAGCTTGATCGGTTCTTTCGGCCATCCTTGGAGACGGTCCTCCGTCAGCACCGAGGCATTTTCTGAAAAAACACCCGTCGCTTTATTCTAGGTCGTTAGTGGGAGGGGGCTTTGTGGGGGGAGGGAAAGAAATTTTGGTTAGAGTGCAGTGCAGTGTGAGTCGGGATCCCGCTAACACGTCCCCCCCCGCTAACAGCCCAGAACCGATAATTGATTATTTTATTTTAATATTTGATGAATTGACGAACCGCATTCGGCTCTGCTTTCGGGATTCTTCTTCCAGCCGTACTGCCAGCATCCCATCGGCTCGATCCGAGCTTGCTCGTTCCCGAGTCGCTCTAAAAAAATCAAGCGAGATATAGGAGTGCAAAGGTATCTAGCTAGTTGGAGATACGGGCACTTATCTAAACATGCATGTTTTAGGTATGCAAAAGTGCAGCTCGAGCAGAGTCGAGGTCTGTTAAAAGAATGATTGGGAAAAATGTATCAAGAACGTTATGAAGGCTTGAAAATGGTTTTCGGAAACATTAGGATAAGCGACAATACGTTGTACGGATCGGCGTAGTTCCTTATGGCCGCGTTCTACGGCCTCTTCAATAGCCATTGTTTTAGCAGCTTGCCATTACACGGCTAAAACGGCCTACGGATATATCGCCATGCTTGCGCTTAGCAAAAAAATCACCATTCACCCATTCCGTGTAGCAAAACACGACGAAGTCGGGCTCCGTCGGGTTGTCGGGGCACGCTGCAAATGAAAAATAAAAATACTTGAAGTGGCCGCTCTTGCTAGTCGTCTCTCTCCCTTGCTCTCTATCTCTCTCTCACTCGCTCCCCTCCCGCTCGCCCTCGCACCCGCCCCCCGCTAAAAAACCAGTGCGAAAAACAAAAGCTTAACAAAGGTACCGTAGGTGACGTTAAATTGTTTCGTCCCGCTTGTGATCAGCTCATGGAATGCCACTCCCTGGTCAGCAGGGTAGATGTCGCGCTTCAGCGGCTTGCACTCCCTTTCCGGATGCCACGGGTAGCCGGTCACGTCACAGTTCACATGCTCAGGGCTCTAAAGAGGGTTTTCGTTTTTTTGTCGGGAAAACACGACAAGACGCAGATGGTACTGGCTTTTGAGTATCCTTTAACACATTCGTTGCAGTACACCTCCCCTCCAGCCGGTCCTCTCCTACCTTATATCTACTGCGTGGTACTACAGGTCTTTTGTAAGTCATACCAAAAGACTCTCCCAGGAATCCCAACGAAGTCATTGGTATGAGCCGAAGTCATTGGTATCCTTTAAGCACCTGTAGGCCGATGGGGAGCTGATAAAGTTAGAGTACGGGGCGGGCTGCAGGAAGGGGGGCCTCTCTAGTCTGACATCCCCCAACCGTATTGAAGTAAAAAACAGAAGTCAAGACTGCTAACTTCTTTGAGGTAAACTACATTCTTGCCGAAAGCCCCCACCATTTGAAGCTGCACAAATGGCAGTAGCATCAGAAGAAACAAGAGCAGCATCAGGAAGCGGAGCTTGACGGTTGATTGGAGGGCGGTTTTGGCGAGAAAGACAGCCAGACAATGACTTTCAGAAATGCGATATGGTCTCGTGATGCTAATCGCTCAGATTCAAATTACCGAATTTAGTTACACTAATTTGAAAGTTGAAACGCGAGAGAGAGAGAGAGAGCGATAGCGAGAGCGAGAGCGAGAGTGGGAGCGAGAGAGATAGAAAGCGAGATAGAAAGAGAGAAAGAGAGCGAGAGAGAGGGAGCGAGAGAGAGAAAAATAGAGATAATGAGAGAGCGAGGGGAGAGAGATAGAGAGCGAGGGGGAGAGAGATAGACAGCGTGAGTGAGAGCGAGAGTGATAATAAGAGAGCGAAGGAGAGAGAGCAATAGAGAGAGAGAGAGAGAGAGAGAGCGAGAGAGTGAGAGTGAGAGAGAGATGCACCATCAATTCGGACTTGGCTGTGTGTCTTTATTCAGAAACTACTTTAGTGACGTGAATCAGAAAAAAAGATCACAATACAAAAAAACACAGAATTCTACAGAGGAAAAAGGAAATCGTGGTATTTGTTGTAGTCGTTGATCCTAGTTGGGGGCGCCGGTGGAGGAGGGCGGAATGTAGGCAGACGTCGGTCGCTCTTCCAGCTGCTGAACTGGCCTGCCGCGTGGCACGTTGTTGGCCGTAGCGTTGGGGCCGTCTGAAAAGGTCGGATATGAACCGCTCAAAAGGATCAAGAAAAAGCTCAAACTCAGCACACAAAAACGTACACAGCTTCTGCGCCTTGACGACGGTGCGGTACTTGATGTAGTGCGAGGCGCCCAGGATCCCCACCGCCGTCGCGAAGCTGATGAACAGCAGCATGAAGCGGTAGTAGACAGCGCTAAAATGCAGGGTGGAATCTTCGGATCTGATTTTTCAAATATAAATAGTGCAATTGTTTTTAAGCGGTTTTTTACTATTCCCAAGCTTGAAAACTTTACAAATATTTTTCAAAAATATAGAGTCTTCTACTGAAAATGGCCGATTTTTTAACAAAATTTCGATGTTTTCAAAGTTTTTGTAGTCCTTAAATAGATTTTTACTTCTATAAAGCTACATTTCAATAAGAACACGGCGAAAACACTTTCTATTATCTCGCTAGCCATTTCAAGACAAAAAGTTCGCCGCCCCCGATAAGGCGAAAGATCCGCGCTACCTTTTATTACTCCTACGCGTAAAAATGGGAATAAAAGTCGTGTGGAAGATGGGAACGCTACATACTCGGCGCGCTCGATGGCCAGTTGGGCGCGGAGGTTGTCGTCCTCGCTGCTGCCGCTCTCCGTGGGCTCCGGCTCGCTGGTGGTCGTCGTCGTGGTAGAGAGCGGCGGAAGCCACTCTACCTGAAGAAGATTTAGAATCGTTAAATCCTCATATTCTAGTCCCAACGTTGAATTCGAAGGTCGACGGGCGTTGACGAGCATGGACGATGTGGCCCACTTGTTGTCGCTGCGTCATATTCTGAAAACCAGCGCCAATTTTGAAATCTGAGACGGGAACTGCGAGAGTGCTCCCGGTAGCTGCTTTCTTGAATCGAAGCCCCAGCAGAACAAGCCTAACCACGGTCTAACAAGCTTACAAGGCTTACTGTTAGGCTTGGGCTTAGGATCAGGCTTAGGCTTAGACTTAGGGCTTAGGCTTAAGCTTAAGCTTTGGCCTAGGCTTAGACATGTAAGCCTGATCCTCGCCGAAATTAAAACCTTCACATAAGCCAGCATCAATGTACCATTTGAAACATATGGTGCTTGAGGAGCATTTGGATGCCGGGGCTGGCGTTGTGGACGAGCTTCATGGGGACTCTCTTGCCCTTGTAGTTATAATACGACAGCGCCGTCGTGTTGTCTGAACAAAATCTTATTTGGAAGCCAAAGGGGAGGAGCTACAGCAAGCAGTCGAGGGCTCAATCTTCCAGCCGTAGCGCCAGCAGCCGGGCGTCCTCATGGGCACAATTCCTGAAAAAAGAGAGGTTGAAGCGTGTGGTGCTTGGAAGGAATTACCGAGCCCAGCCATCGTATGGCAAAACACGACGCGTTCGTCTCCCTTCGACACATCGGGGCACGCTGACAGTAAAAAACGGTTCTACTTGGTTATGAGTTTCCTCTCGCCTTGCATTCTCCCAATAGGCCTTTTGCGGGCCTAATTGGGCCCCCATATTGTCCCCCCCCCCCCGGTAACGAACTAGTGCCAAGACAGGAAGTGTTTTTCTGGTACAATTCAGATAAGCGGGGGAGATTTTAGGCGCGGGGGAAACCAATTTTTTCTTTCGGCCCTGGTGGGGATAGTGATCAAATATAAAGTGTTTTCACATTGTTTTTAGCAAAATTTAAGCCTATTTGAATCGGAAAAACTTTTTAAAAAGTTAGAAAGACGCTTGAAAAAGTCGAAAATTTTTGGGACGAAAAAATTGATTTTTCGACCTAAAATTAAATTTTTTAATTAAGTTTTGTAAAGTTTTTATGTTTAGGAATAGCTATAAACAATTTAGAAACACTTTCACTATTTATATAACAAATATAGGCTTGGGCGGAAAAAAGTTCGGTTTCCCCCCCGCCTAAAAGTTCCCCCCCCCCCGCTTATCCGAATTGTACCGTTTTTCTTAGTAGCCAATGCTTTAAATCGAAATAGTGGAAGTATTTCCGAAATGTTTTCATACTATTCCTAAATAAGCGGAAATTGAAAGTGCGTACCGTAGTACACCTTAGCGGGACCGACCGTCCCGTCTGGGGTGCCATCCGCGTATTCGACAAGGGCCATGCCCCAGTCAAGCGTCCTGAGTCCGGGCTGCTTCCGCAGCTTGCAGCCGTGGATCGGATCCCATGGGTGCCCCGTCACGTCACAGAAAACATGCTGGCGGTCATCCTATGAATTGATACGTTAACAGAAAAGACTAGTGTTTGTGTATGTTTGTATGTATATTTGGCTACGGTTTACTTCACCCTCTCCCCCAGCCGGAAGGTTTTATTTTAAACTATTGTGGCTCAAATTAAAACTCTTAGTCGATTTTTTGATGCTCTATCGATCGAATGGCGTTGCAAAAATCCTGACAAAAATAGCGAAAATACCGAAAACTTTGGGAGTCATCGGCTGTGAGGAGTGGGGGGGGGGGTACCGTATATTTGCATCCAAATTCTGTAAATCAAATTGAATTAAAAATTCAATTTCGCGATTCGGGAAGACATATGCAAATTTTTGACGATTGTGAGATCGACGGGGTCAGGGTTGAAAAGCCGCGAAGCGGTTTTATTTGGATGAACTACATTTTCGTCAAAAACAGCGGCAGATGAAATAAATGGATACACTATAAAAAACCGACATCTTGGAGCTGCACAAATGGCAGGAGCATCAGAAGAAGGAGAGACATCATCGGAATATCCATCTTGGCTGCCGAGTGGAGGGCGGAATTTGATGAGAATGATATCGGGTGTTGGCACTTGTTGGGCCAAGAACCGGGGATGCAGGTCTATGAGATTCAAATCAAGTCGATGTAAATCATGCAAAGTTGGCGTCTTCAAGATTTCTACCCGGGCCGGATTTTAACGGAAGCAGGTTTCATCGATGGACTTGAAGACTGGTATTTTGGCAAGTAACAACATGCCCGGACTCAGCGATATTTTCGATACGAATTTCGCTAACATCACAGCGCCGCAGGCATAAAAATTGATGAAAAATAGAAAACGCCGCAGGCAAAAAATATTGAAAAAAAAGTCCCTCTAGCCTGTCGCATTGGTGTACGATTTTTGACGATTTAGGAAGCAATCGAAAGCTCTCGGTAACGCGGGTCCAGCACGTTTGAAAAAAATCACCGATTTCAACATGTTAAAAATCATTTACTAATATTTCTGCGAAAGTGCGGAATCTCTGACCAATTGTTTTTTACAAAAATCACATTTTAGGGATCTTTGCGCCTTTCCTGACATCCCAATGATAGTCCCAAAAAAGACACCCTGTACAACCATGTCTAATTAGCATGATTTGCAGGACGCAAATTAGCCGGAAGCAAAGAAATGCTCCTCCTTTCACCTGTTGTGTTAAATCACATGCAATCGGTATGTCCATTATTTGATGCGACTTCTTGCCCTTGTGCTGCTCATCCCCGGCTGCTATGCGCTCTGGTGTTACCAATGCTATCCTGGGCCCAAAGGAGATCCGTGTCTAGAGGGAGGACCGGTACGTACAGCCCGACTTTTGTAGCTCTGCGCGACTGTGGTTGAGTATACCCCCCCCCCCCCCCGCCCAGCCGGCACCCACGTACCGTATCTCGGCTCCCTGTTCATCTACAGGTGTGTAAAGTATACCAAAATACTCGCCAGAACAAGACGAACATTTTGGTAATCTTTAAACACCTGTAGATGAACAGGGAGCCGAGATACAAAAGTTGGGGGACTGGCTTGGCGGGCGGGGGATATCTGGAGTCCTAACCCTTTTCCGCTTAGGAATTGGCGGAGGAGGAAGACGTACGAGTCCAATGCGGGGCCGGCGAACGCTGCATCTGGTCATTGAAGAAACGGCACCCGCTCGCTTTTCCAGATGAAAGGAGAGAGTGCGGTACCATGGGCCCGCACCGCTGTGGACACATTGAGAGTGACGATAAGGACGTAGGTGAGGTGGCTACGGTTTACATGACCCCTCCTCCAGCCCGAGGGTTGGCGTAGATGGTAGAAAATTCGGAATTTTTGAAATTCGAATGTTGAAATTTCGGTTACGGTCCACTGAATTTGGCCCCATCTTTTAGAACAACATTTCGATTTTTTTCAACATTTTTTAGACAGTTTTTCATGATCATCATCATCAGAGGTGGTTTAGCTGAAACATAGTGATATATTACCAAAAACACCATTGAAACACTTTCTATTACGTTACTCGGCATTTCTAAACTTGTATAAAAACCTCGGTTTCACCCCGAAAAGCAAAAATTTCTGCCTCTGCAAATCAAGAACAACCATCTCGAACTTGACGCAGACGCTGTCTCGGCCCCAAATATTTATCGCTATTAAATATTCAACGTTTTCCAGGAAATGTGTGGTGGTGTGCATGTGACACTGATTTCTGCAACACGGGCAGCTTTAATGAGTTGAAGGCTACGGTGGCAGCCTACTCGCCCACTCCATCGCCATCGCCGCCGCGACCCGCCTCCCCGGTGACAGTTGATTGCCTGTATTGCGCCTCGGACTTTACCGAACCCCCAAGATCTCCGCTGTTGCCCGGCTGCCGTGAGGGTGGCAAGGTTAGAAATACAAAATCAGGATGGTCGATAGGATATTTTGTGAAGTAATGTATATTTTTTGGGAAACATATCCTAAAAACCGCTTCGCGGGTCCTGGGCGCCGGAAGCCGTGCTGTGCCTTCAGCAGTGTAGCTACCCCAAATTTCGGGAGGGGCAGCCTGCTCGCTCTGCCCGCCCCCTCCTAAATCCTCCTCCTGGTCCAAATTTCTTAAGATAATATTTTGCGCATGAGCCGCACCATCGAATGCATAAGTGATCAAAAATACAGGTCCAAATTCGCCATGTGAATTGAGTTATGTTCCGGACGCCACGGCCCCCTCCCGCGATTTATTAAGGACGTTTCAGAAAAGTGCTCCTAAAAACTTTATCATACAAAATTTTGCAACTCCTAAGAAACTTATCTGGCCAATGAAATTTTTCATTTCCGTTCCAAAAGTCAAGACACCATTCCCTCTTGGATCCGCGAAAAGAATCGAAAAGACCCATTTTGTTAAGGGTTTTTCACGTTTTCGCTTGTACAATTGTTAAAAAAAAATAAATTTCGTAAAACAAAAAAAATGCATCACTGACAAATGTGTTTGTCCACGTACATGCAAAAAATAGGTGAAAATCGAAATCGGCTGAGCAGGACCCGCATACTTTCTCGCTTATAAGACAGTATCTTGTCTAGGAATTGTCGAAGCACACGACGCATGAGAAGGGACGTTGCGGGGTGCCGGGCCAGTACTGCCAGATGAACGCCAAATTCTTTCATGATGTCACCCGTCCTCCGCTCATCGAGAGGTATTGCGTGGAAGGAGATGATCCGACATGTACGATAAACCCGGAGAACGATGGTGGGTCTCGCGCACGCACCTTATAAATGCTTTTTTTTCTCTGTATCTGAGGGCGCGAGGGGGGTAGGTTAGTCACGCGGGGTAACGGCCAGTTCGCCTAAACCCACTTCGCCTAAACCCACTTCGCCTAAACCCGTTTCGCCTAAACCCATATCGCCTAAAAGGGTGATAGTCGGAATCTCGAAATTTCGGAATCTCGAAATTTCGGAATCTCGAAATTTCGGAATCTCGAAATTTCTGAATCTCGAAATTTCGGAATCTCGAAATTGCGGAATCTCGAAATTCCGGAAATATTAGCAGATTCCTGGAAGCAAAACTATTATGTATCCAAATTTTTCAGATACAAATACAAGATTTCCGATAAAACGAAGAGTAGACCCTCTGAAAAAAGGTGTTTATCAACTCGTCGTTTCAAGGGCTTTCGGATGGTATAACTATTATCCCGATCCGACGCTTCTCCGTCGAGTTAGAGGGGGTCTACTTTTCGTTTTATCGGAAATCTTGTATTTGTACCTGAAAAATTTGGATACATAATAGTTTTGCTTCCAGGAATCTGCTAATATTTCCGGAATTTCGAGATTCCGCAATTTCGAGATTCCGAAATTTCGGGATTCGGAAATTTCGAGATTCCGAAATTTCGAGATTCCGAAATTTCGAGCTTCGGAAATTTCGAGATTCCGAAATTTCGAGATTCCGAAATTTCGAGATTCCGACCCCTACCCCGCCTAAAACCCATTTCGCCTAAATCCCATTTCGCCTAAATTTTTTACCGTATTCAATGCTGCATTTTTGACCAAAAAAAAATCATCAATTGGCGACATGCATAGAAGTGTTTTATTATTTTAAAAACATAATTTTTTTAGAAATTGCTTGTAAAAATCACGTTTTGCAGCTAATTGCATGGCTTTTATTGAATGGTTTCAAGGACTATCTTTAAAATTGTAAGAAGCAATTATAAAAATTTCGAACTTCCCGACTTTTTGGTCAAAAATTCAGCTATGAAAATTTAAAAAAATTTAGGCGAAATGGGTTTAGGTGAAACGGGTTTTAGGCGATATGGGCTTTAGGCGAAATGGGATTTAGGCAAAACGGGTTTTAGGCGCAACGGGTTGTAGGCGATCTGGGTTTATGCGAAACGGGTTTAGGCGAAATAGGCGAAGTGATCGGAATTCATACACTCCACAATAAAAAACCCCCGAGTTTTTTCTTCTTAGTACCTTTAATGCCGATTTTGCAGGTTTCTTGGTGGGCTGCGGATGTGATAGCGCATTATGTAACGACTGGGACGAAATAACACTCAAGAAGATGGCGGAAGCTCTTCTGGAACATCGAGAAGGCGCCCTGAACATCACCTCGCCATTGCCCGTCGTCCCCAACGGAACGACCTATTATATACATCTTCATTACATCTTCATCTTCTTACTTGCCTTTTCCTAGATATCACGTCAATTTTAAGCCGGGTTTTCGTGGTGTGAATAAAAAATTTTATGGGAAATGCTCCAACGGTAAAACGGAGCAGCCGCCATCACATTCGCCACAGCGTTTGCTTCAAACGAACGACAGACTACAGATTACGAAAATACGGAAGCCCCTAGCGCTGTGGAATACTTGATGGGCCTATTTCCGCCGCTAGACTCGCCGCCAGACTCGACTTTTCGACCATGAAGGACCAAATTTTTGCGCTTAGCAAACACTTTTTTAACTTTTTCTTCTTAGTTCAGAACTTAGTAACAATGAATATAAAAACACTGTATGTCTGATTACTAGGCCAACCGGGACAGACAGGAAAAAAGTTGGTTCTAGTTCCAAAGTTACGCCTCGAGTTTTCAAAGGGACTCGGAAGCCAAGATTCGAGCGTGCGAGGATTGAACTTACGGTTCGAAAACGAAGGGGTTATTGCCGAGAATTTCCAGAAAAGTGATTCTTTTGCGAAAAAACGTAACATATTTGAGTAAAACCGAAAAGTTCTTGGCACATGATTCCGCTTTGTTCGTCTAGGGGCTGGCGGATAGTGCGCGAGGGGTAGCGAGGCAGGCACCCAGTCGTCCGCCAATGGTGGCTGGGGCACGGTTTAGGCGGCGGCTGGCGGCGAAAAGAGGCTGGGGGCGGGGACAAATGCTAAGGCTCGGAATGCTGTGCTTGGGCCTTTTTAGTGGGCGGCGATTACATGTCGTAATGTCTTGTCTGTCTTGTTTGTTTGCACCACACCCTTATGGCCTTACTATTTTTGAGATCGGCGCTGGGGACAGGATCCCCGCCGATCTCTGCCCCCTAGCCGTCTGTCCTCTCTCTCCCAGACCCACTTTCTCGTCCCTTCCCGACGCCTAAAGCGCGCCCCACCCCAACCATCCATGCCCAAAGGCAATTCCGTTTCATAAGGATTTGGCACCCAATTTCTCAATCTCGGTGATTCTATGATCAATTCTCCTAATTAAAACGTCTAGAGTGATCAAAATTCGATGAAGATTCTAGAAATAGTGTCAGAATTTTTGAATTCTAGTGTTTTCAGGCAGACTGAGGCAAAAGATCATGCGGCGCGTTTGCGTTGCGGTGGTATCTGGATATTTGCCAGGAATTAACGCTAGGGCCCGTGGCCAGATTTCGAAGCCACTTTAACCCTTGAAAGAAAACTTCCACGACAAGTTTCGTAGCATTTGGGGAGATTGATTAATCGATATCATAATTAGGGGGATAGCTGGTTTGGCGGCGGCGTTTTGAGCCAAACAAGAATTCTACCAATTTTTGACCGCGTCTATCTAGCCTTCTCAAAGCTGTTTTTTTTTCTAGACAAGCCGGCAAAACCATGTCGAAGAACCAAACGATGTGTTGTGTGTACTTTATTCAGAAACTACTTTAGTGACGTGAATCAGAAAAAAGAACACAATATATATACAATACACACAACACAGCATATACTACACTACAGAGAAAAAAAACAGGCGTCGATATCTTTGTTGTAGTCGTCAATCCTAGAGAGGGGTATCGTTGGAGGAGGGCGGAACGTAGACAGACTTCGGCAGCTCTTCCGGCTTCGGGGCTGGCGTGCTGGGCGGAGTTTTGTTGACGGTCGGGTGGGGGCCGTCTGAAAAAGCTTGCTTATCAGAAGGTCACGAAAGCGTTCAATTCCAGAAGGCAAAAACGTACACAGCCGCTGCCCCTTGACCACGGTGCGATACTTGATGTAGTGCGAGGTGCCCAAAATCGCCACCGCCACCGCGAAGCTGATGAACAGCAGCATGAAGCGGTAGTAGGCCGCGCTGGAATCGGTCAATTTTTAGCGAGTTTTTAACTTTTGTGGGTTCTTGGCTGTTAGCGGGGGGACCAAATTTTTTCCTGTGATTTTCTACGGCTCCAAAACAAAATAAAAACCATTAGTCATAGTTTTAAGATACAGAAACAATATAAAAAAATAACCAAAAATTTGTTGTTATTTGTATGTTCGACTACTTCGCCAAAGATGTATGGAAAATTGCCACAAATGTAAAAAAATTCGATTTTTCAATTTTTTTTGACCTTTTTAGCAACCAAAAACTATTGAACACCACCGCAAACATCGATTTTTCGACCAAAACTCAAATCGACAAGGCGTTCTAAATTTTTTAGATGTTTACCCCGTTAAACTATAGTAACATAGTACCAAAACACATTTGAAAGAATTAAAGTCGTATCGCTACGTACTCGGCCTGCTCGATGGCCAGCTGGTGGCGCAGTTTGTCTTCTTCACTCTCCGTCGGCTCCGGCTCGGTGGTGGTCGTAGTGGTGGTGGTGCTTGTCGTCGTCGGCAGCCACTTCTCCTGAACCATATATCATTTGTATGGCGGCAGCAGGTTAACTCACCTGGTATTTGAAGTCGGAACTGCGCTCAACAAGTTGATCATTGCCGATACGATTCCTTCGATCGGGCTGCTGAAAGTTAAAATATAAGCTAGTATTTGTTATATAATAATTTTGCTGTGGTGTCTGTCCATGCGTCCGTCCGTCGTGTCCCGGATTCAACTCAAAGGGGAAAGGAGCTAGAGCTTAGCTCTCTTCGGATTCGGATAGAGCGTGGTCAGAAACCGCAAAACTGATAAATAAATTATGAAAAAGTTTTAGTTTGAATTATTAAAATTAACTTTGAAAGTGCCGCCTTAATAAAACGAGTGGGGGCCCCCTCTCCCGGGAGGCCACGCCCCCTTTCCCTTCGCCCCTCATCACCAGGCCCCTTCCCGCGCCCAGATGGCTTTTTGAAGTATTTAAAGGGTTCTGTTCTATTTCGCGTTGGGGAAAAAACTGTGCGGGGGGGATTTTCTTCGTTTTTTTTATAACTCTTTTATATGATGCTATTTTGAATTGTAATTAAAACTCTTAGTATATTTTTTCACGCTCTATCGAATGGCATTAAAGAAATGTTTGAAAGTTATCGAAAATGTCGAAAACTAGCTTTCGACTCCACGATCCCATGTGAAAACACCGAATAAACCTTGTTTTTGCTATAACTATTTTATAAAACAATATTTTAAGATGAAATTAAAATTCTGAGTATATTTTTTGATGCTCTATCGAATGACGGGTTGAAAATATCGAAAAACTGGCGCAAATGCCGAAAACTAACATTCCGGAAGCAGTTTCAATAGCTTTTTTTTTGTTTTTGCTATAACTTTTTTATATTACAATATTTTTAGCTAAAACAAAAAATCTTAGTATATTTTTTGATGCTCTATCGAATGGCGTTGCAAAAATCCCGAGAAAATAGCGAAAAGATGGAAGGTTCCGCGAAGCATATTCCCCCCCCCGCACAGTTTTTTCCCCCACGCGAAATAGAACAGAACCATTTAAAGTATTTAATAATTTTTATTTACTTTAATTCATTATTCTATCATTTAATGTATCTAAAGCCATTGGCAAGGTCTTTAGGTAATTTTTGAACGGGATTTCGGCTATGGGCGGGGGGTGGGGGTATCTGAAGCCGTAAGCCTGGATATTGATGCAGGTAGGGAAGGATGTGGTGGAGTAGGACATGTAGGGTAGCTCGAATGCCAGATGGTTGCAGTCGCGAAGCGACTGTAGCCATCTGGTTTGCTATATAGATCTTAATATAAGTCTTAATAGTGTTTATAACAATTTTAAAGAGACGTCACGTGCTAAACTATCGAAAAATCCTAGAGATACCTGTTTTGCAAAGATGTTTTGGGCGAGAATTGGCCTTTTTGGTCGAGAGTATTTACTTTTTGTCGTTTTGGGTTAACAATGGTGAGTTTTGACGTTTAGGATAAGCAAAGAACATTTTCGCGAACGACCACATTTTTATTGAAAAATTCGATGAAAAGGAAAAGCCGAATTACCTACAATGCGCGGAATTTTGGGTATTTCCGGTTTTACGAAATCTCGTTTCGGATCAAAATTTTTTTTTGATGAAAATTTGTATCGTAATATAAAATAGCTATAGCAAAAATAAGTAGCTTACCGCTACTTTGACAACAAGCCCAAATCGGGGTACCTCATCAAGGTAGAAGTTGACGAGCCATTGGATGCTATCGCTGGCCTGCACGTACAGCTCGATCGGCTCCTCCGGCCAATCCCCGAGATCGTGCCAAACCGCCGTCGCATTATCTAAAAACAAGTCTTTCTTTTAATACCTCAACAAATCGTAGGCAGTTTGGGCTAAGAGCGGGTAAAACCGACAGCAAAAAGTTGATCCGGCACGCTTCCAACCATACCGCCAGCAACCCATCGGAACGAGTGGTGCGAAAGCTAAAAAAACGGTACTGGTCTGTTCGCGCGGGCTGAGTAATTTTTCCGATAAGCAAGCATTTATCCTATTCAAATGTCATTTGAATAGGAAAATATAAATAGTATGCCCGAGTAAGTAGGAAACAATACCGAGTCCCTGTATGGTGTGGCAGAAGGAGACGTAGTATGGCTTGCGTGCGGGTAGAGGGCACGCTGAAAGAGGCTTTGATGAGATGGACCAGACATCTCGACAGGGTGGCTTAAAGACCGTCAGAACGATGCAATTCCGTTGAGAGCGAGAAAGTTGCGCACCGGGCGGAAGTCGAACCCGCGATGGTTCGCTCCACAGTCTGACGCGCTAGCCACTACGCCACAGGGCCAAGTGGGGAAGGGAGTCAGAGACGCCCCAAACCCCAGAGGGCCTTTGCCCAGTACGGGGCACCACTAATGACGCATCTCTCCGCGCGTTCTTGGGGGCAGCACCCTCGGGGTGACAGTGCGCGTTCCGTCGTTCTGGTAGTCTTTAAAGGTACACTAAAGTCTCGTTCGGTTGGTTACTGGCCGGTAACCGTCCGCGGGATAGCAAACAGGGTTACGGTAGGGGCTCGCCACGCAGCAAAACCGAACCCGCGCCACTCGCCTGGGGAAGCGCTTTGGACCACTAGGCCATGGGACAGACGGGAGACGGGACGGGGGGGGATAAGAAGGGTCCGGGCCTTCGG